ACTGAACGCGTTCTTTCATGGACATTGACCTAACGGGTTAATCGGGGAGCATCGATCGATTATCGAGCAACGAACAGCCTGATTGGTAATCGCTCGCCGGTAGTAAACAACCGCTTAAGCCCTCGCCTATTCGTCGTCTTTCTTTAATGGAAAACGTTTCGTCGCATTCACGAGAATCTGTTTGATTAAGGGTTTGTCCATTTTATTACAACGTTCGATTGTTGTGTTCACAATGAACGCGAATTGATTCGACGATTAAAACAAAAAATTTCCATCAGAGACATTGAAGTTGAAACGGATGGAGAAACTTCATAATACAATTGAATTGTGTGTATTTCTTTAGTAATACGGTGTTTTACGTCCACGAAATATCCAACAGAAATTATGAATTGGTCATTTCCACCACTTTGGTAGGTTCTAGTGTTAAACATATAGTAACTTACTACTATATCTTTACCAGATATTTAACTACCGAGGACGAAAGTATTAAAAACTGAGACAAAGATGTTGGAATGCTCTGAAAAAGAAAACGCGAGATTTCAAGCCCAAGAAAAATTATAAATTGGTGATGATTTTGGTGGCCAAAAATATACAAACGTGCGACAACTATTCTAATTTGGATTACGGAGTGGATGCAATATTCCATGGTTGTAAAATGATTTCGTACCGAGTACGAAAGTCTAAAAATTGAGACAAAGATATTGGAATGCAATAGGGAAAGGTACAAAAACCATTCGAATCTCTGGAAAAGAAAACGCGAGATTTCAAGTCCAAGAAAAATTATCAATTGGTGATTTTGGTGGCCAAAGATATACAAACGTGCGACAACTATTCTAATTTGGATTACGAAGTGGATGCACGGGCCAACGGAACGATTTTCGCGATTTTAGCGTTCTTCACGCGACATATCCTTCTATTCTCTCTCGGTGGCGTTTCCTCTCGTTTCTTTCTGTCGCTGGTGGGAATGGTGACGCGCGTAAACATCCGGCCACGTGGAGAAACAACGCTGCTCGTCGACGGAGGATCCGCAAAACGGGTTACGGACAGCATCATATCGCCGCTTTCCGAGCAGCGGAAAATCTGTGTCCGAGGCTGAGGCGCAACGCGCGCAAAAGAGAGAAGAGGTTAGCGCTCGTATGTGTGTGCATAGCGTGTATGCGCCGCCGGCATGCAACGAGACCCGTCCCTGACGAGAGGTTTATAGGCAGCATCCATTATTAGAACGCCGATACGAGAGAGAGAACGCCACTACGCTTCATAAATATAAATCCGAATGTATAATCGATGAAAGCGGACGCCTACTGAGCGAGGGCAACTGCGTGACAAATGCAACCGTGGGACGGTGAGGGGTGAAGGAGGGGTGCACAGCAGATATCGCATCCTCGGTGTTCGTTCGTGTATATTTATTAAGACCGAACGTTTACGGTTCAATCGAATCACCTCTTTGAATAAGATTTACTCGAGGCAAGCTTCGAGAGTACTTTGTTGTAAAAGTCTTTTGCAAGGGTCGTTGATGATGACGGGGTTGCACGGAACAGGGGAAAAAGATGATGTTTATTTCAACCGAAAGTCGTTAGGGCGTTCGTACAATTTTACGAGAGGCTGGTCGTGAACAGTGAATAAGCTTGGGAAAAATGGTAATTAAGCACGTATTCTGATTGTGTAAGAAAAGTTTTCTCAACTTGCAGATGTTCTGTTTGCAAAAGAGAAGAATTTTCGTTCTCTCGACAAAATGTTATGAGTGTTCAAATATACTTGATACGTGTGTTTAACATGTTTCTATTAAACATCTAATATAAATGTAAGTATGCATTTAACATAATGTATGTATATATACATTTCGATGAAATATTTTTGTAAATGTTTCTGTAACGATGTACGTAGAAAAAGTAACAAAAATGGTTGTTTTTGTAGAAACGATTAATTCTTACTCGACGATAAATTAGAATACTTGGAATATCAGTTCACCCGTCTACCGGGCTAATTTCTATCTGAAATGCAAGAAAATTGGACGAAAATTGTCTTGTCAAGTACATCCCAGATTTTCTCACGTGAACCTTCGTCAACTAATACTACACTTGAGAAGTTTCAACTTCAAACAAAAAAAAAAAAGACATTTTTATCTACATATTATATATTAGTGTCTTTCGAGTAAGCACAGTAATTTATCACTTATTAAAAAAAAGAAAAAAGAAAAACAGTGTTTTTTTGCATTAACGTTAATATTTCTTGCACGTTATCTCGACATCTTTGCATTTCCCAGAAATGCATAAAAATTCATCCGTTTTGTTCAAACGACGGTTTTCATACGGAATAAATATAAATATAAATTAGGGGTACGTTTTTTTTTTTTTTTCAAATTTAACAAACATCGTCTCCTAGTGACAATTGAAATAAAGTAAAATTTACAGTATCAAAAGAACGAAATTACTCATGGGTAACCACCACTTCTATTGTACGTCCTTTTAAGGATTAATCGCGGGGAGTGTCGATCCGTCGAAGCGAACGGCGGAAAATGGTGAACTGACCGAGTCGAGGCGAGTGTGGTGTCCGCTCAAGAGTTTCGGTCCCCCTTCGTCGCCGAATAAATTTGCCGGTGAAACCGAAAGTATCGGAGAGGAGAAAGGCAGGCAAGGCAAGGCAGGCTCGTGCAAGAAACAGCCCCGACGACGGGAGGTCAGGAGAGACCAGACGAGTTTTTTCGCGCGCTCCGCCAAGAATCGCTCGTAGGTTCTTTCTTCGTGGGAAGAAGCTGACTTCTGCAAGCGACTGACAGAAAAATCGCCGGTCGGCGGTGTTACTGCGGTTCAGGATGTTTGCCAGACTCTGTCGTCCCGTTTTCTACTTCCCATCTGGCGCGTTGCTTCTCGCTAGACGCGCTTTCAAGACGAACAACAGGCGAAAGAAAGAAGAAGAAAACATCGTTGAATAACACTCACGTGTATTTCGCTGTATATTTTTGTGTCACTTTCCCTTCTCTTTGAGTTATCTGCAATTTTCGCGTATATTATTACTTTCGTATGTTCGCTTTTAGATTGAGGCAACCTTCTGCAGTTAGAGATTGTAAAACGAAATGTGAATCATATATCTAGGTAGATATATCTATTAATCGTTCGAAATAATTAAATCAAATGAATAATTTTTCAATTACCAATTGAATCGAGTTATATCGATCAACTTCATACGTTGAAGGGCATAGAGAGAAACCATTTATTGAAAACCGAGTTTTAATCCTGTACCTGTGTGTTTAAATTAGGAAGTCAATAAAAGAAGCATTATTGCTTCTTTTGTATTCACAGAATCTTGGAGTATTTCGCAATAATTCAACGATACGGTTCTCGATTCTCGATCAATGATCGGTTTCGTCAAATGAAAATACGCATAATTAGCTGCTATTTGCGAAGCTGCAATTATATAATTACAAACGTATAACTATGAATCTATGGAAGAACCACAATGTCGCAACGTCAAGCGTGAAAGGGTTAAAAACGTGATGGAGGAGCGTGCGCACCAATCGAACCCTGGTTCTTCTTTCTTCTCGATACGCCGAGAGAGAGAGAGAGAGAGAGAGAGAGAG